ACCAAATTAGGCAGGTAAGGGAAGGTTTTAAAGAACAGTCATACTAATTTGTGATTGTTGCTTTTTGTGGCCTGCCTGTACTGATGCTAAATTCTTACTTTCCCAGTTTACCCTGCAATTGACAGCTTTGGTCTTGACAACATGTAAGGAAGTTGCTGAGCCCACTGAAGTAAAATCTTAAGCGAAGAAAGCTATTAAATGAGCTAGAGCATATAAAGAGCATGGAAGAGAGCTTGGCACACAGTGCAAGTTTAATAAATTCAATGTATTACCAAAAAGATCAGTGTATAGCTGTGTAACAGAGCCATCAAACACCTAAGGAAGAACAGCTAAAAATAAGCAAGTGGGGTGATCTCTGGAAAGAAAGCAACTTCCATCATACGGAGATCCTGACAGCAAATTTACACAAAGGTGTAATGTGGCTTTTTCCCCTATGCTGGACTTCAACCTTGCCTCCACTTTGCAGAATTCTTTTTTCACAGCCTTCCTTCCTAGCATTACTGTGACAGTAGCTGCCCACCAGCTTAGGTAAAAATTGTAAATCCTCTTTTAGAAGCAATCATACTGAATCAAACTTGTCTGCAGTGGGCGCATTAAGACTCTCCAGAGGGCTTCTCCTATTTAGCCTACAATTGGCTCAGTGACCTGAGGTGCTCTGTGCCTTCCTGGGTTGTGCCTGTCTAGAGTGCCTTTCCCACTGTCACATGCCTTCCAGGGTCAGCTCACATATCTCTCAATTAGATCCCTGTCCTCCATGCCACAGAACTTCATTTCCCCTTGTTTTCTTGCTCTTACTATGAAACCTACTATATTAGATACTAAATTGTGGATTCCTTCAGAAGAAAGATCTGCCTTTAAATCTTTCCCCACAAGAGAGTTGGGGTGAGAGGCTGGTAGGAGAAATGAAATTTAAGCCAATATAAAGCAATATTAGAGAAAATTTGGAGAAGGCTAACTTCTTGCAGTGAGATACTGTACCTAATAAGTGGAGCTTTTCAATTTTACTCTAATTTTTATGTTGATTTCAAACCATTTCTTTTAGTACTTTAATTTTGAACTAGAGAATAGCATCCTGACTAGATAAAATAAACCACGTAGACTAATAAAAACAAGGATTGACTAAAAACTAATCTACATTAATCCAGAATATACACCTGAGACATGAATTGAGTAAGAATAAGGGAGTGGCACCCTAAATATTTTGGTCTGGAATCATCTAGAAAAGAAGATAATAAATAGAAAGCAAAAATTCTCCTCAGACTCATTTACCAACGCTATGACAGGCTCTTCAGCAATCTATTCTCTTTCTTGTGTTTAATGTGAGTGTGCAGTTGCCAAAGGAAACTTCCCCGCTGCATGACTCACACATTCCACTTTCCTTACTGTCATTAGTTACCCTTGTCTGAATGCTTCTCTTTTCACACCTACCAGATACACAACACCACTGCATTTTTAAGTTCCTTTTACTGAAGTCCTCATTCACGATTTTCTTTCTTCCATTTTCCCTCCCAGTGACTTTCAAGCTCTTATCTAAGTCTGTAACATGGACCTTGTTCCTCTTACTATTGCTGAAAACCAATGAGTGTAACAGGCATTAAGAAAAAGGATTTGAGTCCCAGCACAAATTAGCTGCATGACAGCAATGTTTTCCCCCTCATCATTACCTTCCGTATTTGTAAAGTGGGACTAAGCTAACCTCAGAAGATGGTTGAAACAACAAAAAGAGATTCTCATATAATACACTTATCAAGGGATACAGTAAGAACTTAAAGATAGTACCTCTAATTTTAAAGGAAGTGACATTTATTGAGTATATGTATCATGTCATACACTGTTTCCTAAGTTAACTCAAAATAATAAATGTCAAAATATTTCTGAGATCCGAATTATTACTTCTGTTTTATAGATGAGGAAACTAAAACTCAGTAAGATTTAAGTATTTTGCCCTGGTAAATGGTCATGCTAGCCTTGGAAATGAGGTTATTCCAAAGCCCATGTTCTTTCTACTACCTTATGATGTTTCCCTAAAATAGAATTTTAAAAGTATTTAACATTGCAATAAGTTCAAACCAAAATTTTTTTTCCTCCTGGAACCAGAGTTCAAACTCAAGACCTTGCGATGGGAGAGGCAGGCGCGGCGCCACTGAGCTAAATCCCTGGCCCCAAAACCAAATTTTAATGATATATTTTATATTCGTATTATGGCTTATTTACTTGAAAAATCCTTGACTTTAAAAATTCTTGACTTAGAATTTTGTTAAAGACTACTGAACAAATCTGAGTTAACAAAGTCAACTGTTAAAGTAGTCAAAATGTACAGATTTGCTGTATAATTGCCATTTCATAGAACACAAATGTTTATTCAATTTATAAACTACTGGGGATTTTTTTGTTAGTTTGTTTTTTGAGACAGGGTCTTGGTATGTAGCCTAGACTGGCCTCAAACACATAGCAATCTTCCTGCCTCAGCCTCCTGAATGCTGGGATTACTGGTGTATGCCACCACATCCATCCTGAACTACTGTTATTATAAGCTATTTTAAGAGTTATAACGATGATTGTCCCTTGGAGGAGGTCTAATAAGGCTGGAGTAGAGTACAGAATCCTTAGAGAGGATTCTGCACCAACACCCACGGTGCTCATGCTTGCTGAAGTTACTTAGCCCAGCCTCAGCCTGATCAGCAATAGTCCACACTATCCTACCACATGTAAGAGAATCTAGCACTTGGCAATTTTATGACTCTAAAATACAAAAACATTTCCCAGGAAAACATCTCTGTTCTCTCAGAATTTCTTGACTACTTAAGACTTCCTCAATCTCCTCCCCTTTATACAACTTCTTTCAGAGGAAGTTCCACAAATGAAACAATCTAACAATCAACATAAAACACATTTCCTGCCATTCCTGTTGCAAAGGATGTCAGAGACCCTTCCATGAAATATTTGACTAAAACTGGTAAAAAATTTCAAGTTCTGTTATGCAATAGAAGGCATTCTGTACTCTAGATTATAGGTATATAAAAGGAAAGGCTTAGAAGAGTATGAACAGCAAAAATGTCGTTAGATATCACCATTCATATGTACTTTTGTTTCTCTAAGACATTTATTAAAGATATTTGTAGACTACAGATCAATAAAACAACTGAAATGTCTAGAAAATACATTGCTTAAGGAATAAGATTAACTTAAAGACAATCTGTTTTGCATAAAGTTTTTAAAAAACTTGATGAAAATGATGTTTATGTTTATTTGAAAGAAACAATGCAAGGGAAAAACTAAAAAACTTTAAAGAAGAGTTATGAGGGAGAATATTAAACCACACTTTTACTTTTTGGTAACTAAAATTATATGGTACAGACAAATTATATGGTACAAACAAAAACAGGAAAAGAATCAATTAAGAAGAGAGAGTCCAGAAACAAACCAAAGTACTATGAGAATTTAGTTTAGGAAAAAAATAATACCATTTAAGAAAAAACTATACACCAGGGATTTAGCTCCATGGCACCACTGTGCCTGTCTCACAAGTGCAAGGTCCGGAGTTTGATCCCTGGTACCAGAAAACAAAAACAAAAACAAAAAAACTATACATCTTACATTAAAACAAATTTTAGATTTCTTCTCCATAAAAGACACTATTAAGACTTGAGTAAAGAAGAGGGCCAGGGATTTAGCTCAGTGGTTCTGCTGCCTGCCTCACAAGCAGAAGGACCCGAGTTCAATCCCTGGTACCAAAAAAAAGAGAGTAAAGAAGAAACTACAGATTGGGAGAAAATATTTTTTAAAGATATAACTGGATTAGGACTATTATCCAAAATATACAAAGAATTCTTAAAATTAAACAATGAGAAAATAACCTGATTAAAAAATGGGCCAGAGCTGAGAGTGGTGGTGCACATCTAATCCCAACACTCAGAAGGCTGGAGCAGGAAGATCTCAAGTTTAAGCCCAGCCTGAGGTACATAGTGAGACCTTGTCTCATATTTTTTTAAAAAAAGGAGAGGCCAAAGACCTTAACAGATATCTTAGCAAAGAAGATACACAGGTAGCAGGTAAGTATATGAAAAGTTGCTGAAAATCATATGTCATCAAGGAAATGCAAATTGAAAGAACAAGATTCCACTATTGTATATAACTACTAGAGTAGTCAAAATTCAGAACACCAGAATCTTTTTTTTTTTTTTTTGATAAAATCAGCATTACAGAAACTATGCCACATTTATCCTGTGGAATTTTCTGTGACATTATATATATAAAAAATAGTACGATGCTTTTTTAACAGATAGTGTTATCCTTATATACAGGACCCCAGAGGATGTGGTATATTACAGAAAACCCACTATCCTGCTGGCCCTTACAGAAGAAATTGAAAATGCTTGTGCAGCAATCTCAATGACCAAGCGACAGTTTGCCATATTAATAAACGTCTGGAAGCTAATGCCCACTACTTTGAACAAGGCCAAACTTGTATTAATGTTATGATGTCTCAATAAATTTAGTATTAAAATATTTATAAATTTTTTCTTTTCCTAAAGTGTGTATGTATTTTTTATCTCACCCTCCCCATATATGAATATATGTTTTGGGTTGAATCCTAACTGCCAAATACTTCTATGAAGCTGGGCAAGTTACTTAATTAAAACTCCATTTATTACGGAGGCTGAGGCAGGAGGATTGCCCTAAGTTCAAGGCCCACCTGATCCACATAGTGAGTTCAAGGCCACCCCAAATTACACAGTGAGACCCTGTCTCAAAAAACAAAAACAAAAACAAAACATTCCATTTATTCTTCTATATTACAGGGTAACAATGTCTAGTTGTGGAATCTTTATGTAAACGAGCAGATCAATACATACTAAAGAATGTGAATTTGCAGATGTGTATGCTTTAGAATATAATGAACATTTACATTTCTTCTTGTTTGCAGTTATAACTTGATAATGCATGTTAGCTGTCAATTACCATACTACCGCCTTCCTCTCTAAGGGCTGAATTAATACCTGCAATTGTGCATTCCTTAGCTGCTGGCTGGTGATTTGTGTTTTTTGGTGCATCATATTTTCAATTCGTTGGTTGACTTGTTTTTCCTTCTTGAGCTCATTTTCATAAAATCTGGACCCCTAAGGAGAAAACAAAGCATAAGAAAAATGTCTGAAGAAACAACCATTTGTAATATAACCTGGTGGCTAAGCAGATAGATTCTGGAATCAGACTGACTGAACTCAAACCTTAGTTTTACTATTTACTAGCTCAGTGACCCCAAAGTTCTTACTCTTTCTATGTAGCAGTTTCATTATCCTGTAAAATGTATTTCCTAATAGTTACCTAAATCATAGAATTGTTGTGAAACACTACTAAGAACAAGCTTTTGCATTCAGAAAAGAACAGACTGTTCTAGGTAGGATCCTTGGAGCACATGCACAGCTTTACTAGGCTGAGTCATCGGTTTTCTCCTCCACTAAAACTTACTTCTTAACAAAGTATTTTCAGGCTGGTGCACATGCCTATAATTGCAGGACTCTGGGAGGCTAAGGCAGGAGGACTGAAAGTTCAGGCCTAGCCTGGGCAATTTAGCTACTTAGCAAGACCCCATCTCAAAATAAAAAATAAAAAGAGCTGGGGATGTAGCTCAGTGCAAAAGCCCTCGGTTCAATTCTTATTACAACCAAAAAAAAAAAAAGAATTTTCAAAAATTTTACAATAGGGCTGGGGATTTAGCTCAGTGGTTTCGCCACCTGCTGTACAAGTGCAAGGACCTGAGTTTGATCCCCGGTACTAAAAAAAAAAATTTACATTAAATCATTAAGGAAAATGTAGAAGATACTTTAAAAATTAACTGTAATTTCACTACTGAACATAGTGTCTATCCATACATCAGGTTGATACATATTAGGTTATTTTTACTTTTTGGTTATTATGAAAAAAATGCTGCTATGAACATCTGTGTGCACATTTCTGTGTGGACAGACTGTCACTCCTCTTGGATATGTACCTAAGAGTGGACTTTCTGTGTCATGTGGTAACTCCAAGTTTAACGTTCTGAAGAACTGCCAGGTTGTTTTCCACAGTGGCTGAACCATTATATAATTCCACCAGCATATATAAGGGCTATAGTTTGTTCACACTCTTGCCAAGATTTGTGATTGTCTATCACATTTATTATAGCCATCCTGGATAATAATAGTGTGAGCAGCATCTCCTTAGGGTTTCTAAATTTGCATTTCTTTAATGACTAAATTGAGCATCTTTTCATGTGCCTATGAATCATACGCATGTCTTCTTTATTAAACTGTTTATATCTTTTGCTCATTTTTGACTCATTTATTTGTTAATGCTTCACTCTTCTGTCACCCTTGGCAAATGCAAAAATTTAGTAATACAATCTGCCGGTGCAGTCCCAGTATGGTAATGGATACCTTCCTATTAGTGGTAGCAATATCAATTGATACAACTACTATCTACAACAATTTAACAATTCATTGACATTATATATGCATATATTCTTTCATTTTGTGGAGGAATTCCACTTCTAGTAATATTTCCTGCAGTTACACTTACACATATATAAAGGTATGAAATAAAGGATAATTTACAGTCATATTGTTTGTAAAAATTCTGACAGGATCAATAAATTATATCCACACATGCAAGCAAAACAAAGGATGTAGATATTTAATATTTATGCAGAAACACCTCCAAGTTATATTAATTTTAAAAATTCTAAAACAAAACATTATTTGGGGGCTGGGAATGTAGCTCAGTAGTAGACTATTTGCACAGTGTGTGCAAACTCTCAGATTCTATCCTGAGCACTGCAAAAATAAAGCTCCATAGGGGTTAAAAAAAAGAGCAAAAATAGACATGTATATTACTTTGTTTTTACATGCGTATTATATGCATGTGAAGTGGAGCACCAGATAACAAATGCAAAAAACTAGCAGGGAGATTGCTCCACACTTTTTCATAGTTTAGTAATATTATACATTAAAATGTTTAGTAAAAAGGATATCCAAAGCTTAATGATTTTCTTTTGAACAGAATGTTTAAAAGTAACTAAATTATAGATATTAAAAGGAATAAGAAACATACCTTTGTGGCTTCCATTATAATTTTATTAATTTTCTCTTTATCTAATCCTTCCATTCCTGCTTTATTATCATTAAGTCCCATCCTAAGCAGAAGATTATCTTTGTAATTGTCATTCTTCTCCTTTGTGGTATCCATGGTGTGGACTTAAAGTGGTTTCTTCTTTGTTATCTGAACAGGGACATAAAATGAACACAGATTTTAAAACTATTCACTTCAAAGTTAAAATGATAGGGAAGTCAGCAAAACATTATTTCAAAATGATAGTTAAGAATTCTTAGCTCTTGAACCAAAACTTTGAACAAACGGACTTAGGAAAAATCAACAGTGTTCTAACCAACAACAACAGAATACACATTCTTCTCAGAAGCACAGAGGATTTCCTCCAAAATTGAGCCCATACTAGCTCATAGAACATGCTTAGGTAAATGCAAAGGAATGGAAACTATCCCATGCATATTATCAGATCATAGTGCAATGAAATTGGAAATCAATGGCAAAACCACAAAAACATAAATACCTGGAAATTAAATAACACCCTCCTGAACAATCAATGGGTCACAGATGAAATTAAAGAAGAAATTAGATAGTTTCTACAATTAAATGATAATACCAATATGACATACTGGAACCTATGGGATGCAATGAAAGCAGTCTTACGAGGGAAATTTATAATGGAGAATAATTCCCACATCAGAAAAATAGAGCAAGCTCAAATAAATAACCTAATGTTGAACCTCAAGCTTCTAGAAAAAGAAGAGCAAGCTAAACCTAAAGCATGTAGGAGGGAGGAAATTATAAAGATCAGAGCAGAAGTTAATGCAGTTGAGACTAAGAAAACAACACAGTGAATCAAAGAGTTGGTTCTCTGAAAGATTAAATAAAATAGACAAACCCTTAGCCAACCTTACATTTTTAAAAAAAGGGGGGCTTGGAATTTAGCTCAGTGGTTCCAGCACCTGCCTCGCAAGTGCTAGGTCCCAAGTTCGATCCCTGGTACCAAAAAATAAAAATTAAAAAAGGAAAGGAAAGACTCAAACCCATGCAATTAGGAATGAAAAGGGTGAAATCACAATGGATCCTGCAGAAATGCAGAAAAAAATCAATACCTACTTTGAAAACCTTTACTCTAATAAGATGGACAACGCAGAAGAAATGAACAGATTCCTAGACACATATGAATTACCAAAGGTGAATCAAGAAGCTATAAAAATTCTAAATAACCCAATATTAGTCAATGAAATTGGAGAAGTAAGTTAAAAAATACCAAGAAAGAAAAGCTCAGGTCCTGACAGATTCACTGCTCAACTGAACAGTGAACTTTAGAGAAGATCTAATACCATTACTCCTCAAATTCTTTAATGAAATTGAAAGGAAGGCAATATTTCCAAAGTCGTTCTTGGAAGCAAGCATTACCCTGATACCAAAACTAGAGAAGGATTCAACCAAAAAAGAGAATGACTTGCCAAACTCCTTAATGAACATAGATGCAAAAATCCTCTGGATGGTACTGGCAAACAGAATGAAGTAAATCATCAAGAAGATAGTACACCATGACAAGCAGGATTCATTCCAGAGATGCAGGGATGGGTCAACATATGGAAATCAATAAATGTAATATACCATATTAACAGAACCAAGGACAAAAACCACATGACCATTTCAATAGATGCAGAAAAAACATTTGACAAAGTCCAACACCCATTCATGATGAAAACACTAGAGAAAATTGTGGAGTAGAAGGTCTTTCTATTAACCCGATAAAAGCCATTTATGACAAACCAACAGCCAACATCATACTAAATGGTCAAAAATTGAAAAGTTTCAGTATAAAACAAGACAAGGATGCCCACTATCACCACTCTTGTTCAATACAGTTCTCTAAACACTGGCCAGAGCAGAGAAAGAAATAAAAGGAATAAGGATAGGAAGGGAAATTAAATTATTATTTACTGATGACATGACGCTCTACATAGAAGACCCTAAAAATTCCACTAGAAGACTCCTATAATAACCAGATTCAGCAATGTAGTAAGATAGAAAGTCAGCCCTCAAATAGCATTCTTGTATGCAAATAACAAACTCACTGAGAGAGAAATTATGCCTTTCACAACTGCATCAAGAAAGATGAAATACTTAGGAAACAATCTAACAAAGGGAGTGAAAGACCTATACATCAAAAACTACAGTACTCTGAAAATGGATCAAAGAAGATAACAGAAAATGAAAAGATATCCCCTGTTCTTGTATAGGCAGAGTCAATATAGTGAAAATGGACATACTTCCAAAACTGTTATACAGATTCAATGCAATCCCAATCAAACTACCAACAGTATACCTCACAAAAGTAGAGAAAACTATTCTAAAGTTCAAATGGAACCAGAAGAGACCCAGAATTGCTTCTGCAACAAAGTCAAGGCAGGGAGCATCACAATCTCCAACCTGCAACTATACTACAAAGCTACTGTGATAAAAACAGCATGGTACTGGCAAAAAAATATAAACAAACAAAAAAACCCAAAAACAGACCCGAGGATCAATGGAACAAAACAGAAGACGCAGAAACAACTCTGAAGGTTCTCAGCTACCCTATCTTTGACAGAGGGGCCAAACATCTTCACTGGGAGAAAGATAGTTTGTTTAATAAATGGCACTGTGAAAACTGGCTTTCCACATGCCAAGAATTGAACCTAGACCCATATCCTTTACGATGCACTACACTAACATAGAAATGGATTCAAGATCTAAATATAAAAACAAATACTTAATCTGCTGGAAGATAGAATAGGTAAAATTCTAGAAGACATAGGTGTAATAATGTATTCACTTGTAGAAAATTATTACACTGTACCACGTTATATCACCTCTATGGTTAAGAAAATCCATTTCAAGGTCAGACATGGTGGTACCTGCCTTAGTCCCAGCTACCCTTGAGGCTGACAGAGAAGGATCACATAGGCACAGAAGTTAGAGACCAGTGTGGGCAATATAGTGAGATACCATCCAAAACAAAAGAAAATGCCCTTAAAATAATAATTCTTTAATATCTCTATACAATTCAATTACTTGGTATTTTCTAATAATCCATGCAAATGTAATTCAGTCATACTTTCACCATACTTTTACCAGCACTACGAAAGAGCGAGTCAGGAGGCTAAATGCAGACTTCTCTATTTAAGCTGCTTGTCTTTTAAATGATTAAGTGTAACGAAAGGAAAAGAAACACTTAGTGAATGACTAAAATTTTATAATTACCTTACATATTAATATATTCATATATAATTAGCAAGTCAAACCTGAGAAGAATTGGCTTCAGTTCTTAACTGAGTCAGAATTGGACAATCAGAAATACTGGCACCAAGGGAAACTGTGAGATAGGTATACTTTTCAGTTACTTTCCTACCTGTTGATGCCTAATTATCTTACAATGTCCAGGCTCATGAGCATACATTGAATTTCATTTATATGCCAATGATTTCTAGGTTTAAGGTGCCAGTTCAAATACCTATCTGACCTCTCAAATTTAACATATTCCCAAAACTGATCTTCTTAGCTGCCTCCATACCCTTAACCAGCTTTATTTTCTGTCTTCCTCATTTCAGTTAAGGGAAACTCTAATGCCTTTTAGTTGTTTATGCAAATAATATTGGAATCATTCTTTTTAAAATATATTTTTATTAGTGCCTAATAATTTCACAAAATATTGGTTTTCAATGTGGTATTTTCATACATGCATATATTTTGATAATATTGATCCCCCGACTGACCTCCTTTATACCCCTCTCCTGTTATTATTTTCCTTCCATCTAATAAGTCTCCCTTCTAGTTTTATGTCATCTTTTCTAGATTTTATGTATTAGGGAAACATGGAATACTTGTCTTTCTGAGTCTGGCTTATTTTCTTAACATGATGATCTTGGATTCTACTCATTTTCCTGCATATGATATAATTTCATTCTTCTTTAATGCTGTGTATGTGTATATATATATATTATATATATAATATATATATATACACCATATTTTCCTTATTCATCTGTTGATGGGCAGCTAGGCTGGCTCCATACATTGGCCATTAAGAATTGTGCTACAAAAAAAAAAAAAAAGAATTGTGCTGCAAATAAAAATTGTGCAACACAAGAAATAACCAAAAATGTGCAACCAAGAATAAACAAATGGGATCCTATCCAATTATAAAGCTTCTGGGCTGTAAGAGAACCAACCACTAGAGTGAAAAGACAACCTACAGAAAGGAAAAAAAAATTTGCCAGCTATTCCATGGATAGAGGACTAACAACTAGAATACATAAAGAACCCCAAAAAATTAGATGGCCCAAATTAAAGACCCAATCAACAAATGAGCAACAGAAATAGTCACTTCTCATAAGAATTCCAGTAAGTATTCAACTTTTCAGGCCATTACAGAAATACAAATTAATACTGAGATTCCATCTTACTCCAGAAAGAATGGCTATCAAGAAATCACTTAATAACAACTGTTATTTGTAAAAGGAACCCTTGTACATTGTTGGTGGAAAAGTAAACTAGTACAACTACTATGGTAATCAGTGTGGAGAGTCCTCAAAAACTAAAACTAGAATTTCCCAGCTATTCCCCTTCTAGTCATCTTCCTGAAAGAGTTAAAGACATCATATTACAGTGATCCATGTATACTCATGTTTATAGCAACACAATTCATAACAGCTAAATCTTGGAAGCAGCCTGTATGTCCATAAATGGATGGATAAAGAAAATGTATTTACGCACAATGGAGTACAACTCTACTATAAAGAAGGATAAACTTGAGACATTTGTAGGAAAATGGATGCACTTTGAAAGCATAATTTTAAGTGAAGCAAATCAGATACAGAAGGAAATATCACATGGTTTCTCTTATATGAGAAACCCAAATTATAAAGAGCAAAATAAAAGATAATAGGAAGTAGATAAGTCTGTCTCAAATGAGAGGAGGATCAAGAAATGGAGGTTGTTGTGGGAGGAAAAGGGGATGAGAAAAGACTTGAGGTATGTTATGTACATGTACCAACTCCCCACAAGGAATATAATCTTTATATAATGCAAACATACACTAATAAAAATAAACTGGAAAGAAAGAATTGTGCGTAATAAACATAGGTACATAGGTATTCCCATAGTATACTGACTTTAAC